TTAGAATGCGGTGCACACCCTGTTCCAAAAAAGAAACAACAAAAACAAATCACATAAAGTGTCACCGATTGGAAAGTTTCAATGTGTGTAACATATATTGTTTCGGTATTCTGGTGCTCTATCTTCCAGGAACTTGGGGAATGGCTTCACATTGGACCTTTACAGTCTCGCACACACATCTGGTCTGCGGACACCATGGTCTCATACCTGAGCTTCTTGGGTGAAGAATTGAGAGAGCGCAGGAGGAAGCTCAACTTACCTCACTCTGCCCGAGCGCTCATAATATGTGACCATGCCACACAACATACGGCCAAACGGTTTCAGCAGCTGAAGGAAGAATGACAGCTTCAACGCAATGCAGCCTTTTGGATGCGCTCATTATATATACATATATAGGTTACAATTCGGGATCAATCAAACCGTATGGCCAACAATGTTCCCGAATGACTCAACCCACATTCATACAACAATCCTGGAGTTCGAATGCGGGATGTTTTCTTCTATTGGTACCTGCTCCGTTGAATCACATGGCCTGTAATGAGAAACATGGTGTATCCAACAAAAACCTCAGCTCTGATTCCCCTGCCTGCCCCATCCCAGGGGGGTGGGGGGCAGCAGGGGCTCCCCGTGATGGATTTCATCAGCGCATTCACGCGCTGGTGAAGGCATATGCAAACTTGGCTCTGGACTGGTCCAACCAGGTCGATCTACGCAAGCAATTGGATGAGATGCAACTTACAGTGCAAGGCAGCGGTATGCACAAGCAACTCGGCAGATGTATATATATAATTGGATGGATAAAGCCATACACCAGCAGCAACAGATTTATAGAATGTGTCCAACTCGGTGTTGACCCTCTGAAGATCTTTCCAGATTATATATATAGATTTCATGACAAAACATATATATATATCGCTATAAGTATATATCCCTATATATCTCGTCGTATCCCTTTTGTCCCCGTGTCCTTTTGGCCCTGTATCCCCTTTGTCACGTATCCCTTTGGTCCCCGTGTCCTTTCGCCACCGTATCCTTTTGTCACGTATTCCTTTTGTCCCCGTGTGCTTTTGTCCCCGTATCCCTTTTATCCCCGTGTCCTTTTGTCTCCGTATCCCTTTTGTCCCCGTGTCCTTTTGTCCTAGTATCCCTTTTGTCCCCGCATCCTGTTGTCCACGTCTCCTCCCCGTATCCTTTTGTCACCGTATAAGAACATACATTTCTTAATATATAGCATATATATATTTATCATTTATTTGCCTCATTCCATTGATTTGTTGTTTCTCTGACTTGGCGGTTTTCTTGTGCAGTTAGAATGTCCTTGCGTTGTCAGGTTGTCCATCATGACGGCAGTCCAGGCTGATGCTTATGCCCTAAAGAATTTGAGCTCTTTTGAGTGGCTCGGGCTACTTTATGTATTGATTTACAGGGTCAAACCCCACACACCAACGAACACACAGACAGAAAAACAAAGCACACTGCAAACAAACATAAAATGCCCAAGCAGTTAGAATGTGGGTCATATTCTTGGCTAAGGTCAGGAAAGCTTGTGTGGCTGGCATGGATGTCACGTGGCTTCATCGCAAAGTCAGACATAGCCAAGTGGCGTTTTCAGGGCTGCTCGAAACGGTCCAGAAGTGTGTTTTGCCCAATTGGCTTTCTAGAATATGGGTTTCGATAGGTGTGAAGATTCTCGGTTGGCAACCAAATCCTGCACTTTTTCAGGAAACGAGGCTGAATTGGACAAGCTTTTGAAGCGGAATCGTGGCAGCGTGCAGGCACTTCTGGAGTTGACAGAATCTCCAGACCTTGGAACAGATCCAAAAAAGCTTGAAGAGATTAGTGCCATGCGCAGTGTGCCTATGGTGAGCGAGCGTCTGGTGGTTTGGGCTATCCAGACCGGGGATGACATCAGCAGTCGTCAACCCCTACCAGAGTGGATTTCTCTTCACATTGGCAGAAATCAGAAAGGTCTCAACTTGGGGCCATGAGAATCAGGCCTGGGCAAGGAAAATTCAGGCACGAGCTGCGCAGACAAAAGGACTGACGCCAGCGATGCAGAAGAAGTTTGATCATTGGCTCGCAGAGTCAAAAGAGCAGAAGATGCTCTTTTCCAAGAAAACACAGAACATAGTGCGGAGACTTGGACATGAAGAGCTCCCCAGGGCAAGGCATGATTTGTTTTCCATTCAGCTCCTGATGTCAGACAACCCAGCAGAACTCAGCCTAAAGGCAGGAAATGGAGAGCAAAAGCGTTCGGTCTACTTGCGAGGAGAACCCGTCGAGCATGATGACCTACCCGTCTTTCTGGATCAGGGGGTGGCCGCATCTGTTCAAGAGTCTCTTCATGATCCACAGCTGCAGGCTCAGGGTGACCAAGATGTGCAGAATGAGGAGGAGGAGGAGATTGATGCAGAACAACAAGAGCAAGAAGCTCTGCGCGCACTTGAGGCTGAATGCAGTGATCGGGAAATGATTATGGGCTTCTCGGATGAAGAGGATATCTTACAAAAGATGGCTTCGCGAGCTTGCACCAGAGTCAAGTCCTTTGAACGAGATGCATTTTTGAGGCTACAAGCACGTGGTGTCACAACCTTGCCACCATCCAGAGCGCATTTGGGCTATCATCATACCAGTCGAACCTGGCAAGGGTATTGGGATGGCACCAGCCAGGGGCTATGCTTTAGCTTCGGTGGAAGCACAAAGAGATCTGAGCCAGAAGCATTACTCATGGTGCTGAAACGCTTGATCATGCGGTATGTGGAAGCATACCCCAGGGATGTTTTGTGGCAGCTTCAGTTGAAGAAGATCCAAGAGTTGGAATCTTCGGTGGCTGACTTGTAGAGTTGAAGGCGGAAGGCGTTCCAAGTGCATGGACCTGAGGGCAGAATTTGACTGCCTATGGATGCGGAAGTTGAACACACTTTTGTACATGTATGCATACACACACATACATACGCTTTTTTGAGCCCTCAAAGCGGTTGTGTTTGTTGGCGTCCTGTGTTTCAGCATGCGTGTCCCTTGTGCTTCAGCCGGGATTCCAGAGTTGGAAGCTTCGGCGGCTGACTTGTAGAGCTGAAGACGGAAGGCATTCTATCTGCATGGGCCTGAGGGCAAACAGCCTACGGATGCGGGATGTTTTGACAACTGTTGAGCTATATAAGTATATCTACATATTTATTCGTTTATGTACACATACATACAGCCATATAAACTCTGATGAGTGTTCAAAACTATTTTTTGGTGTTGCATGTTCTTCAAGACGCGCGTCCATTGAGACCTTCCGGACTTGTAAAGCTGAAGGTGAAAGGCTAAACATGGTATATAGCTGAATTTGATCACCTATGGATGCGGGGTAGCAAAAAACATATCCAGCCAACTATACACTTGCACATTTGTATATGTGTATTTATATAAATATATTCAGTGCTTGAAAAGAACAGCCGTGAAGGCTACAGCTTCAACGCTGTTAGTTGTGTTTCCTGATCACGTCAGCCTTTTGTTGTCTAGAGCCGCATTGCAATACATGCATGTGGCAAAAGTAGCCCTGTAGTAGCCAAAGACCTAAAGAACGCCAGGGGAAAAAAGAGCGCGATGCTTTGATTTCACATGGTTTTGTTAGTTTGCACGCATTAACGCTTATTCTAACTGTCCTTTCCTGTAATGCCTCCCGGACCCACATTCTAACTGGCGACGATTTTTGGTTAAACGTAGTGCGCCGCATTCTAAGTTTCAGTCCGTCACTATATTTCTCCCAGACTGGAGAAAGCCACTGGGAATCTGTGAGCCAAATTGCTTTTTCCCAGCCAGCAAATTGGAAGTCTGAGCCTTTTGCTTTTTCCAGGCCCGGGAAAAAAAGCAAATTGGAAGTCTGGACCATTTTGCTTTTTGCTGGCCCGGGAAAAAGCAAACTGGAAGTCTGAGCCTTTTGCTTCTTAATAGGAAGTCTGGACCACTTTGCTTTTTCCCGGCCCGGGAAAAAGCAAATTGAAAAAGCAAATTGGATGAGCCATTTTGCTTTTTTTCCCGGCCCAGGAAAAAGCAAATTGGAAGTCTGAACCATTTTGCTTTTTTTCGGCCCGGGAAAAAGCAGATTGGAAGTCTGGACAGTTTTGCTTTTTCCCGGCCCGGGAAAAAGCAAATTGGAAGTCTGAACTATTTTGCTTTTTCCCGGCCCGGGAAAAAGCAAATTGGAAGTCTGAGCCTTGTGCTTTTTCCAGGCCCGGGAAAAAGCAATTTGGAAGTCTGGACCATGTTGCTTTTTGCCGGCCCGGGAAAAAGCAAATTGGAAGTCTGAGCCTTTTGCTTTTTCCCGGCCCGGGAAAAAGCAAATTGGAAGTCTGAACCATTTGGCTGTTTGCCGGCCCGGGAAAAATCAAATTGGAAGTCTGAGTCTGAGCCTTTTGCTTTTCCCAGGCCCGGGAAAAAGCAAATTGGAAGTCTTGACCATTTTGCTTTTTGCCAGCCCGGGAAAAAGCAAATTGGAAGTCTGAACCATTTTGGTTTTCCCCGCCCAAAGCAAATTGAAAGTCTGAACCATAGTCTGAGCAAACTGGCCTGAGCCGTCTCTTGTTCATGGAGGGTTGCGCCCAACCAAAAACACACCAAAATGAACATGGCTTGGTTGGCTGGCTTCCTGTTCCTCAGCAACCAATGTGTCAGTGATCAGAGGACGCAAGACGTGCCAGGGCAACTGCGTGAATCCTTGAAAGCCTCTAGCCCCAACGAAAAACCATTTTCGCCGACAGTGGTAAAACCCCACGCGCGAAAGCTTGCGAAAGCTCGCGATGGTCCTGCGAAAGGCCTGGAAAAAATGAAAGGACTTTTGAACAACCCCCATATGTAGGGCCCCCCCGCCGCGGGTTCAACTCCTCCCTGACGTCGCTGGGACGTGAGCATTTCCGCTGTCACGGGGCCAACTGTCACCCGCTTCACCCCCGCCCTGCTAGCTTTTGTCACCAACCTCGGCCTCCAGTCTTTCCTTGCGCGTTTTTGGCACCGAGGTCGCGGGGCCCCACGGGGACCTATGCCTACATGGCACCGGAGGCACGTTCTAGGTTGAAATCTCCGTCCATGTGGGGCTGACCAGTCGGACTGGTGAAAGCGACGAACGAAATTGCCAAGCCGGCCAAACCTCGCCTGAGGGAAGTGCACATCCACTCGGCCAGGTCTACGACAACAACATCACTCCAAAGGTGGACGTTTGGGCTCTTGGCATTGCCCCTTGACCCGAAAACTCAACACCTGGCATCGTTTGGGCGTATCGCGCAGATCGTCCATTGCAGATCGGTCAGGTGGCTTACGAGTGTCTCTGTGGGCATCGGCCATTTGGAGACTCGCAGCTTCTTGGCTCACCAGAGATACATAGGATTCAGCATTTCAGCAAGGTTAACTGAGATTGAGATGGTTTCTGCGGGTTTCTTCAAAACCCGCAAAAATTTGCTTCATGGCAGCTTGTGCTGCTAAGAAACATCATGCTGCAGCACGATAGGATTGCCATCCTATGCAATTGCTCGATGTTGCTCCCATTGACGGCGCCAGACCAGACCAACCTGTTTTCATCTAGGGTGTCAGTGCGTAGTCTCCAACCTGTGAGTATAGACCCCAGGTTTGTTGGGTGTTGGATTTTGACCGCTGAATTTTGATTTTGAAGTTAAACCATGTTAAACCCTATAGAACCCATACAATCCACTTGGACATCTTCTTTACCGGGTACCGTTGCCTTCATCTTCCTTTTTCCCGTGTGCCTAGCGAGCCCTGTGAGGTTCGTGGTCGAGTATGAGAGCCGCCATGAGCCGAAGCCGGTGGACATGCGGGCGATTGAGGAAGCTGGTGCCAGCCAGGCTGGGCCCAAGTGCGGTCCTGGGGTCAACGACCTGGTGACCTGGAAGGAATGCGGGGAATGATCCTGATCAATCAACCACTTGTCATTCACAGTTTTGAGATCGATTCTCAAATCTGGACAGCACTACCCAAGCAAGTTGTATACGATTCCAGTAGTCAGGGCCTTTCTAATTCTAGCGTTCCAGGTCATTCATAGGGCTGACTGAACCAAGTCTTGCCATTGGCATGGCATGATGATGCAAGTTATTTGTCCTCGAGCACGTGGTTCTTGAAGGCGTAGTCTCCAAACCTCCCAACTAGTTCACGTCACTGTGTGCACTCCGTCCATCTCGCAGAATGTATATGGTACCCCGCCCCCGGGGATAAAGACGGGTCACAACCTTTGGTTCCGTAGCGTTTGGCTCTCAGCTGTTGATGACCTGCAAAGGTTGCCATAGCAGGTTGGAACTGCCCACTGGGACCTCGGGGTTCTGCAACCCGTGCTATTTGGCCACTCGCATTGAGCGGGTGGTGTTCACCAGGTACCCGCCGGCAAGGAATTGACCCACTACTTGGCGAAGGTCCTCAACACCCTGGAATCGGATTCGGAGTCTTTCGAATCTGATCGGACGTCGGGGTTGGTCGACCCGAAAAGGTACCTGGTGTTGGAGAAGAAGGAGGGCAAGACAAAGCTACCTCCAAGGCTGGCAGCGGGGGTACAGACGGGTGAAAAGCATCCGCAGGCGGCTTCAGGAGGAGTAAAGAAGGAAAGAAAGGAACCTGAGGAAAGTCATCAAAGCACCGACGAAGGAGGCGCGAAGACAAAGGGAGATCGAGGAGCAGAAGCCGTAGGCGAGAGCGCAAGAAGAGAAAGGAAGAAGCGAGCTGTGTGGCCGAAGAGGAGGTCTGAACAGAGCCCGAAGGGAGTGGCGAGGAAGCCATAGACGGAGAAGAGGTTGAGCAAGAAGAGAACGAGGAGGAGCACGAAGACGAATCTCATCACGACGAAGTCAGCCCGAACACCGAGGTCGCTAGAGACCCGGAGGGTGCAAGACTCAGGAAGGTTCCACCAAAGCCATCCGCCCGGAAACCCCTACCTCGGAGGCCTCGAACACCATCAAGGTCACCACCTGGGCATCGTGGACGACAGCAGGAGGGTACAAAGAAGTGGAAAAAGGAGTCAAGCGCATCATACGGGGCCAGGCCCTGGGTTACACCAGCAAGGGACGAGCTCCCAAAGGCAAAGGAAAGGGGAAATGGCACCGAAGATGAGGAGACCAGCCAGGGCCGACGGCCCGGCCCGCGTGAGGAGAGATACTAGATGACTGGAAATGAGTTATCGAAGATATATCTAAGTTACCCTACATGTTAGGAAGTTATAACTTCTACATATAAGTTAGTTACAAACAATTAAAAAGTAGGATAAGTAAGTTATAAGTAATTTATAAGTAGGTGCTAAGTAGTTAGTTTTTTGGAAAATTAGACATCCGCACTCGGTACGCGCGGCGCGCAGGCGCACTTTTTCAACGCGCAGCACCTGGTGAACCTTGGAGTTGTCAAATTGGCAACTTCAAGCATAAAGTTGTTTGCTAGCCATGTTTGCAGCTACACGACACATTCATGTTGCACGACAGAGAGAGAAGCCATGAAAAGCGTGAAAGTGTGAATTCTTAGCCTATATAGGTGGATGTTATGTTCTAAGATTATAGAAGCCCGCGGTGGGATCACTCGAAGATCAATAATTCAGGTGGTATCACTCGAAGTTTCTCATGTTTTTGCTGTTTTTGCATAGTACCACACAACACTTAAGATGACTTCGACTGTTTTTTGGCAGGTCTGCTTTCGCTTTTTGTGTTCGGTGTTCGTGTTCGTATCGCATTTGGAATCTGGAAAGTTCTTTTCGGCAGATGTTCTTTGGAATATCTGCGCAAGGAAGGCACTGAACGGTGCATGAACACCCTCAGCAGTCGATCTGCCCAGTCAGGGCAGGCCAGGCTCTTGACCAGACATTTGTACATGCATGTGCCCGACAGTCATGACAAAGCATGTTGGGGTCACAGCTAGCGCATTTGAGGGTAGCCTGTTTTTGGTCAGTCAATAAAAGGACTCGTTGTCACACAGCTTTGCACATGGGATCCCTTGGGCATGTGTTCGATGGCATCCCCGCAAAGGTTCACGCACGTTGATTTTTGTTACCGCTCCGCGACCATTTGCGCCACAATGGATGGCGCTCCTTCTCCACGAGGAACGAAGTCAGAGGTGCGACCCCTCCATCGATCCTTCGCAGCGTGCACTCTCTTTCGGCAAAGCTGCAGTTGTGTGGATAGCCACGCAATCTTGAGCGCAGCATGTTTGGCAGCATGCGTTTGTCAACGTAGTGTGTCAGGTTGGCTCCCGGAGTTTGCGTGGCATGTGCACATCACATTGCAGCAGCAAGCATGCGCATAAAAGAATACGTGCATTTCACACAATAAACAATAACCACGCATATTTATAATTAGTTATGTATTTATATGTATATTTACAGTGAATGACTTTCGTGTGACCTCATTGCGGGTTTGTGTGTGAGCTTTTCAACCTGACCTGTGATCCGACACCGTGGCCATGGTCGATACGAAGGTCAAAAAGACTGTTTTGACCAAAGCGGAGAAACGGAGGAACCAAGACCGGAAGAAACACAGAAAGGACAGGGTTCCTCATGTGCCTCGAGACGAGCGACCTCCCTTGGTGCACGTTCCTTTCCAGCCACGACGCAAACTGCACTCCAAGCTTTCTATGGCCAGACCGCACGCAAGATTGAAGTTCATGCTTGAGGTTTGGAGTACTATAGGGTCTAAGGATGGGATGGAAACCAAAAGTATTTGTGCTCTTAAGGTTGAACCTCATGGTCATGGCTGGACTTCCCTTTGTGATCCTCTCGCTCATGGAGATGACTATGGCTCACATGACAAACCCTGGAATGGTACCTTTGATTCTTTAAAGAAACACTCTTGCAGGTTCTCTCAGCTTTTCGTGGGAGGGTGTCTGTTTCGGGGGTTCAAGACTCACTTGTGGTCTAAGGATTTGGCATGTGTGGAATACTTTGCAGGAATCAAGACAGTAGCTCGTGGCTTCCAGTGCCAGCCTCAAGATTGGGTTGTGGCAAAACACGCTCAGCAATGTTTCTATTTGTGCATCTCGAAACTCAATAATGGATGAGTTATGGCAAAGCGTGTTCAACAATGGTCTTAGTTTTATATAAATATAGTTGTTTGTCTCGAAGCTCCAGAGGCACTTCGGATGTCCTGCAGCCACCTTCGAGATTCAGGACGATGTATTTATGCAGGACTGCTGGAATCCTTCTCGGTCATGCACCTTTCACTGTTTTTTAACTGTAAATAGACTTTGCCAGCTTCACACCCTCAAGGATTCCCACCGTCCCATGAGATAGGCAGATCCCAGTGACCTCGCAGGATATGTTGAACCCTCTTGGATTTGTCTTCCATTTGTCCATGTGCTGTCGCCTCTATGGCCAAGTGGCTTGGTTAGAAAACACTTGGAGGAAAAACGGTGGCAACTATATTCCTTAAATATGGCACTAGATATCTCATGGCAAGGCTTTGGAGCATTTGTTGAACAAATAAGTGCGGTGTCCACCATGGAATGCTCACTCCAAGCTCTGCTCAGTCCCATGGGCCTTCCATCAAGCGTTGATCTAACCCACGCTCAGGCTGGCCTGGCATTTTACGCGCCAGTTTGCTCGAGCTGGATCTGGTTGAACCGGAGTCTTGGATGAGTGGGGTAAACAAAAAACAACTCGAAATCCAAGGTGTCAACAAAAAAGTGTGTATCCAGCAACCTCATGTATGCAAATGGTTGCAAAAGAAACCTCAAAAGAGCGGCCCGAACTAAGTGGCACTAGCGGCCGCAGTGCTCTACGTCCATTGGGCAACAAATCAGTCGCTTCAGTTGCTGCAGCGACTCTTAGCTGCAAAGGGTTCCACAAACAACCTAGCTCTCAAACCTCTACTATAGTTTGTCTCAGGGTTGCTCCAAAGAGTGTTTTCAATCAAGTTGCCTTTCTTTGCAACCAACTGCATTGTGCGCCCTCGCCTCAAAGCAGGAACTGCAAATAGGTGAAGTATAGGTCCTAGGCCGGCTGATGTCTGACGCGTCAGATATGTCAGCGGATGACTTTGATATTGGCTACGTTGCATCTTTGCAAGAGATCGGGGGAGAAACTATATGAGGACATGGACCCAGAACACAAGGACCCTTCCTATCATCGGTTCGTGCCCAAAGACTGTATTCACGTGCGAAGCGAATCAACCATGTCAAATCAATTTCCTTTCCCATCCATGCTTAAATCTCGCCGGCAGTTAATGGAGTTTTGCACATTTTCTTATCTAGTGAAATCGGACTTTGTTCAATGCGAGAGGAGGCCGCAATCCCTGTGCTGGGAGATGAACCTGCTCAGCCCATCCTCAGCGGTGACTTCTTGAAAACGGGCGAAGATCTTGTGAATCTTGTCTGGTAAGCGTGGAGGTTTCATTATAGGTGTCAGCATTTGAGTGCATGTGCGGTGTAAAGGGTGTGTGCTTTGCGCCACTCTGTCCATAAGGAAGGGCAATGCATGGTTCCTCAAGGTGATCTTGTTGTTCCCCCCTTTCACATTCAGAACTCCATCCAAGCCTGAACTCCGGGTCATTTGGCGAGCTTTCAATTGTACCAGCAAGGCCAGGTGTTTTCTCTCACCTCAAGTTTGTGTGGGCAGGCGTTCTCATCTAGTCTCATGTCCAGCTTGGATGAATTTAGCGCGCCAGTTTGCGCAGAACCTTGCACTTCGTCCGGGAGATCTCACAGAGAACCAGCAACTGGAGCTGCTGGTCACGAAGTCCAGAATTCTGTGGGGCTCTGTGCGGAGGCCCGAGTCAAACCTCTTGATGTGATAGCTGCACTTTGCGCGCATGGTCTTTTGTTGTAACACGTCTCCTCTTTTGTGGTCCCTGCAGTTTGTGGAGAAATTCAAAAGAAAGGAGCC